TATTTGCTCCTCTATTAATCTGCGAGATCTTTCTTCCTCATCCTTTTCTGCTCGTTCTTTTTTCAGAATTGCCTCCTTTATAAGTAAATCCCGATGATGGGTCTCCATGGTTATGGTTAGGGTATTAACCCCTGACCGCAAATACGTCACGAGTCATGTGGTAATGCATATCTATGTATCATCATTTATAATAAAAATCGAAAAAATCGAACAATAACTGCCTTTTACTTGTACACTCGGATTCTGGAAACATGCCAAAACACGAATTCTTAACACCGAAAGCAATCGCAAATCGCATAAAAGTATGACAAGGACAAATTAACTTTGATTATTATTTTGATAAATATGTGCTGTAATTAACTCTTTCCATTTAATTGAAGGCGAAAGGTCTCCAAAAATTAAAATGGTACTGTCAAATGTGCCAAAAGCAATGTCGTGACGAAAATGGATATCAGGTTTGTTTTTCTTATCATAAACTGCTTTTTTTTTTTTTTTTTTTTTGACGAGTTTAAATAATATTTTAACCATAATTGCTCGTTTGCTTTCTTATAGTGCCATATTCGTTCTGAATCTCATCTTCGTCAAATGGATCTCTTGAAAGAGAGTCCTTCGATGTATATGCAAGGTTATTCTAAACAATTCCATGATGACTTCATTAAATTGCTCTCTAGAAGGTAACTTTTACTAAGCCATCATTTTATTTTATTTAGACATTTAATCTTACCATTATTTTTCTTTTCTAATTAAGATGGGGAACCAAAAGAGTTCATGCAAATCTTGTATATCAAGAATATATTGCTGATAGGCATCATATACACATGAACGGTACAATTTGGGATACTTTAACTGATTTTGTAAAACATTTGGGAAAAGAAGGTACTTGTGCCGTTGATGAGACACCAAAAGGATGGTTTATTAGTTGGATTGACAACAGTCCTAAGGCTTTGGCTAGACAGGTGATTCAATTAGTGCTTACTAATTATTGTGTAATCTTGTTTATACTGTTTTTAAATAAATAATAATATATCCTTTTGCATTTAATTATTTAGGAGGCAATTCTGAAAAAAGAACGAGCAGAAAAGGATGAGGAAGAAAGATCTCGCAGATTAATAGAGGAGCAAATA